TCTGAAGGATAGAAAGCTGAGTCAACTTTGGGCTGGCTACTTGGGATCGAACTCCAGGCCATGAGCACAGTTTTGGCTGCAGGACAGCAGTTTAACCACTGCACCACAAGACTTATCTGAGGCTCATCATTCTCAATGTTATTTTCACTTGGCAAAGAATGTTGGCTGTTAACATACAGCTTTTAGGTACCTGGAGAGGTTAGCATGTGATATAAACAGCCTAATTGGTAAACATTTTAGTTAGAGGGTCCCTAACCCTAAACTAATAGATTAGGTCTGGTGTGCTCTGGTCCATGCGGTCACAAAGAGTCAGACACGACTAAATGACTAAACAAACAGCAAATAGATTAGGTCCAGTGCTAGCGACTGAAAATAGAACTGATAGCTTACTAAACAACTTTACCTGAGAGTATAAGGATGTTTTCTATAACAACTGCAAAGTGGTTCTGTAGAAATAGAAAACAAATGCTTTTCAAAAATTATGAAAATTTCAAAAACACAAGTGTTATTTGTTGTGTTGTTCTGAAGAAAGCACACATTTATTTGAAACCTTTTTCTTAACAGGAATGTAAAACTTATCTTGTTTAGTTCTTGCTGGTTGGAAACAAAAAATTAAAAAGTTCTCTCCCTTCTTAGTGAGGTTATGATTGAGTTTGTACACACTTTGCATTTCAGGGCTTCTTTGAAAGATTTGTGGAAGAAATTTTTAGCCAAATTCAAGGCTTTCAGTGGGCAGACACCATATTTTTCTTTGTGTGCTCATGCTAATGCTGCTGCTAAAAACAGGCATGGTCTCACAGCTGTTGACTTTTGGGGGATGGTTAGGATATCTCAGGGACGTGGTGGCGCTGTGGGCTAAACCGCAGAAGCCTGTGCTGCAGGGTCAGAAGATCCGGCAGTCGTAAGATCGAATCCACGCAACGGAATGAGCACCCGTCGCTTGTCCCAGCTCCCGCCAACCTAGCGGTTCAAAAGCATGCAAATGCGAGTAGATAAATAGGGACCACCTCAGTGGGAAGGTAAACAGCGTTCCGTGTCTAAATCACACTGGCCATGTGACCACGGAAAGATTGTCTTCGGACAAACGCTGGCTCTATGGCTTGAAGAGCGGGATGAGCGCCGCCCCCTAGAGTCGGACACAACTGGACAAAAATTGTCAAGGGGAACCTTTACCTTTAGGATATCTCAACGTGTTAGTTTCCAACTGTATGTTACATTCTTTGTTCGTAGGTTCTGTTT